CCTACCGTCACCCTCCCGCGGTATGAGAAGGGCACCCTCAAATACTTGAAAGTGTTGCTTGGCCCTAACGAGCGCAAGACACTCCTCCTGATTGATACTTCGCACGGGCAGAGGCATGCACTCTTCTCCTTTCCAAGCGCTTAAACGTAGAACGACACGCACTTGGCCGAGTTGAGGACCATACCAGCAAGGGAGAGGCCATTGGCCAGACCATCCAGTCTCTGCTGCAAACGGTGAGGTGATTCAGCGAATAGGACGAGGTCGTCTGCATAGGCAATCGAATCCACCGTCGCCCCAGCCAGATCAAAGCCCAACTGCCGGTCGGAGTAGGAGAGGGCTTCAGAGAGAGCGCAGTTGAAGAGGAGAGGGGAGAGAGGGTTGCCTTGGCGGACATCGCGTTGGCATCGAACCTCAGCGTCAAGGATATAGGTGGAGGTGCGAGAATAGGAGGAGGATAGAAGAGTGGTTCGGAGCGGTGGCGTTCTTGCTAGCGGCCGCGGCGTGGTTTCGCTAGATAGTAGATAGGGACAGTAAGAATCTCGTTAATCCATTCATGCGCGTCACTAATTAGATGACGAGGCATTTGGCTAGTAATTATTTATTATGCTGAAAATGAAATTACACGATGGGCAGATCTTGCCCCAGAAAGAGCCAGCATGTTGCTACAAGGTTTTGGAAGAGCAGTCTGTTAGGCATCCCTGGGGCAGGATAAGTATTGTTTGGACGTCATTCTGGTGTTCTCCAGGGCCAGTTTATCCACTAGTTTTCGTCACCGACACCAGCTTCATATGGTTTCCGGGTTCCTTCGCGTCGGTTATCCCCAACACCGCCAGCTCCACGGGCATAGACATCGTAGGCCTTCAGAGATCCTCGAATCACTGCCAAGCATAAGCCTGACAGGTCGAACGTAGATAATCCAAGGGATCGTAGAAGACTTTCGCTACGGGAAGAAATAGTTCCGCGCGATGAGACGACTGCTGGTATGTGAGACACGGGAGTATTGGCTGGTTTCGTCAGGATCCTCCGAAGGTTCACCTCGAATTCCTCCGCTGAGTAGCGTCGGTCTTTACCAGCGTAGACTCGGTCCATTATGTCCTCTCCCGCTACGGCCACGTCAATCACCGTTATTGAATTCTCGGTGCTCATGACGATGTCTGGTTTGCAGAATGAATTGCCCTCAGGGACATGGGGCTCAATCAAAAGGTCTCGTCCATCGCTCAT